GTGACTTCAATACTTCTTTCAGATTTTTGACCATTTTAGACTCAAGGAATGATTGAATCAATGTAGCAAATGCAACAAACCTTATCTTCACAAACATCTAAGTGTGTACATATGGCTTTGCCTTTGCCCCATGTACTGTTTCCTCATAGGAAAAACCAGGTTGGGTGCATTGCAGAAAGACAGAAGGGCCTTGACAGCCTCATTTAAACTCTTCATTCTGTCAGAGCGTGTCACACATGGGTTGCATATTTAGAAATGGAGTTTGCTGAGATGACAGCAGTCAGGAAAACCATCAGATTCTGTCAGTGCACAGACATGTTACACTGTGTCCTTGAGCTCAAGCCCACATGCTCCATCACTGGCCCACTTTGTTATATTATATTGTATATTAGTGACATGTTAGTCCCATATGAACCAGCCCGGACTCTGAGGAGCACAGGGACTGGACTCCTGTTAGTGCCCAGAGTCAGAACTAAACATGGGGAGGCTGCTTTTCAGATTCATGCTGCTAAAATCTGGAACAGTCTTCCTGAAGATGTGAGACAGGCCTCCTCTCTGACAATGTTTAAAACCAGGTTAAAGACAGTTCTGTTTAACTGTGCATACAACTGAGGGATTTTATATTTTTATCTTTCTTTTTAATGTTCTGTAATAATTTATGATTTTAATGCTTTCTTGTTTTGTTCAGCACTTTGAATTGCCTTGTGTATGAATTGTGCTATATAAATAAACCTGCCTTGCCTTGCCTTTGTTGAGCGCCTTGTGTTTTAGATAGCACTCTCTTCTGTAAGCATCATTTTTGTCCTTCTGATCTAATCTCTGTGTAAATGTTACTGGTTTTACCTGGAAATAATGTTTAGTAATGTAAATTGAAAGAACAATTAGGAACTAAGTATTGTTTTGTAATAGGAACAGAAGTTAAAACCATTCTCTTTAGAGGCATGGGATTTGCGTTTATGAGGGGGACCTCACACCAGAACACCAACATGCTGCTTTAAATGTTGATTGCAATTGTGCTTTTTATATTTCTCAAAAAACCAAAATAAAAGTATACTCAATTTTATGAACCACAAAAAGAAACGGAAATAACACTGGATAGCATTCTGTTATACTCATGGGTATTCACAAAGCTATGGTGTCTCGGGTAGAAATGTGTTGGAGCAGTTTTAATTAAAGCTCTCCTGGACAGCTGCACAGACCGAGGAACAGCAAAAAGCTTTTTACTGGAGGAGGGGTGGGAGCACGACTGGGATTCCTTGTTGAAAAAAACATCTTTAGACAGACTGGGATAAGTGCAGTTAGCCAAAACAACACATATGAGCGTGGAGCACATTGATGTTGCCTAAATGCAACGGCACAGGCCTTTACAGCATGACAAAAATACTTTGTTCACAGCGTGCAAACATCTTTCACTCTCTTGTTGACCCCTGAGCATGGTCCAAATTTCCTCAGTGGTAGGGAAGAAGTCGCTCTCATCTCTTGACGTTGACGGTGACACTGATCGCACAGATGGTTTTTGTTCTCCTGGTCTATCAGTTTGTTTATGCATTTGTATACATTTTCTGAATATAGTTCTGGCTTTGAAAGTTCTTTTAATAAGACAAGAAAGTAAAGAAAGCTAGTACTGCTGCGTTGTGGTCTCTGGAGAAGTGAATCCCAAGTGTGAGCCAAGGTGAAAGCCCCCTCGTCTCTGTTGATGGTCCGTGCGCCCCGCTTCCTTCCTTCCACGGACCATCAACAGAGACGAGGGGGCTTTCATCTTGGCTCACACTTGGGATTAACTTCTCTAGAGACCACAACGCGACGAGGGACACGGTCAGTCTGAGGGATCTGTGAGATCTGTCAGACTGACCACATCCGGCAACAACAGCTGATAAGAGACGCGTCACACCATCACGTGTCACCTCTGGTGAAGGCGGAAGTGTACCGCTGAAACATGTCAGGTAATTAAGCAGTAATAGCTTTCTTTACTTTCTCGTCTTATTTAAAGAACCTTCAAAGCCTTAAACATAATGAACTTTTTACATTTAATATTGTTCTGCTGGTGATCACCTGAGCTCAGGCATGTCTCTGCTTTGATTTAGCTTGAACGATGTAATAGCACAATATCACATTCAGCTTCACATCAGTGCCGTTATGTGCAGTCTGAGGTTGTGGATCTGTGCTCATCAGAGGTTACAGTGATAGGGTCATGAATATGGATGAACATGCCCCGCTGAGAGTGCTGGCCCAGTATTCACTCTCAATATTGGAATACACTGGAAATGGCATAATAGCCCCATCAATGTTTTATTTCACTGGTCTGTATGCCACACTAATGCACTGATTCCTCATGCTGTCGGCCTCTGTTATAGAAGTCTAGTAAAGCAATCTGAATTAACATCAAATAGTCATAACAGTAAGTTATTAACTTATCCTCAACTCTGTTGTCCTGTTATATGGGGGACGTGTTTTAACAGGTCTTCGGCCATATCTGTGTCTAAGAACAAAACGTCCTGGACAGAGGCTGAGCAGACTGCTTTTATATTTCAGAGTTGTAGCAGCGTTAGGAAGTGTAGAGAGAATCCTTGAACCACACAGCTCAATGTTTCTGTTTACTCTTGTCTATTTACTGCCTAGCAATTTCCTGATTCAGGGCAGACGGTTTCAGACGGCTGCCAGGGATCGTTTTTTTTATTGTAAATGTGCATATTTACTAATTAATAAACTCACACTTTGATAGTATTACAGCTCTTGGTTGTTTACATTATTCATGCTCTCAGCCTGTGAATACATTCCACAACAGAATATAGAAGATGAAATAAATACATTCGGCTGTATTTATACATTGTGCTTTTGTTTCCTATGTAATTCTTGGTTGCCAATGAACATTATCCTTTCCATAGGGATTTAAACAATATTACTTATGTTTAATGGAAAAAGGTCTTCAAAATGCCACAAAAGCTAAAACTCCTGAATAGTTCAAATAATATTTATGAGAACTATGTAAGGTTTATTATTTGTATTAGATTTGTGATGTTGAGGATGAGTTATTGATCATGATATTTGTCAGATTTCTTTTTTCACAATAAGATTTCATTATTTGCAGTCGTTTTGATGAGGATCCTAAATACCTGGATGTGCCCGTTATAACTGAGGTGGATAATTGATGGATGGTTGATAATTGTTTTCAGTTTACTGTTCTCTGAATATACCAGGCGTTGTGTGGAGTCTGCACAGGTTTCCTCCAGGCTCTCCGGTTCCCCTACCACTAAAAACATGTACATCAGGTGAGAGTTGAATGATTGTGTATTTGAGAGTATGACTGTGGAACGGCAGATGGAAATTTTCTACTTAGCTTCTCTCTGGTGTATTTACAGCTCCTGCTGTTCATTAATACACACTGTGCCATCCAAATACACAAAGAGATCAAATAAAATATACAAACACTGAGGCAGACAAGTCTGTGCTACTCACTACAGACATGTTTGGTCTTTTAAATGATGAATCTATTCATATCCATTTGATATGTAAAGTACAACACACATTTAAAACACGTTTAAAAAAGAAAAAGAGAATTAGAATTTATAGAAATCAACTCAAAATGGCAGAATTTGAGATTGGAATATTTCTCACAATTATTCAAACCAAGGGTGAGATATTTCTGCTGTGTGACTCAGAGCATAAATCTGTTTATTTGCAAAGTATGGAGCTCACCACATATCTCAAACATGAGAAACACAAATCTCGGCTGCACACTACTTTACTTCCAGCTACTTTTGTGGTTGAAGAATACAGTTCAGAAAATTAGTTTGCACCAAAAGTACACTGTACTAATTAAACAACAGACTCAAAACATTGTGAAAACAGTCTAGAACCCCTTGCATCAGTGTTGCATGATTAGTGTGTCTTAACAAAATACTGCTGCTCTTTGATAAATGTTTTTTTCTTATAGCTAATAAATAGGGCACTGACAGTGTGAGACTAAACATACCACGGACATTATCCTCTTACTCTAGAAACAAACTCTTAGTAACTGAACGAGTGCAAGCGTGTGCAGCATTGCCTTGCGAAACTCTAAGAAGCAGCACTGATGCGAAATGCACAAGCTAAAGGTTTGAAAAGGCAAGTCATCATAACATGACTTTTTGCATGCATTCGATCACACCTGCCTGTAGCTGCTACATGTGTCAGAAGTGAAGTGTTCTTCTGCTCGTGGACAGAAAAAATAGAAATCCTCTTATGTACATTTTGCTTTCTCTTGTGGGAGACAGAGGGCATTCCCTGTTTCCCCTGTTTCTGACATCATTGCTGAGAGGGAATGTTCTAACAGTATATGACTAACACGAGAACTGGCTTTATGCTGTGCCAATTTCAAGATACACACTTAAATGAAAACAAAGAAATAATAATAATAGTAATTGTCATTGCAGTTGTTTTGACGTTATCCTTGGGGCCTGAGGTCTGAAGGCGTGTAGTGTGCATGGTGCTCTAAATTGGTCACTGGTAAAGCACTTACAGTTTAGTGATCGTTACCGCGGCGTGTAACCACTGACATCAAGTTTCTCTATTGGATTGTAGGCAGGGCTTTTCATAAACCTCGTTTGCTCACCGGTCGACGATGTTTTATACTTCAATTTGACATTTGAAATGTAAAATTGTATCTTCATATTTATTTTTATATATGAAACCTTTACAAGGTTTTATTCTCCTCTCTCTTATTTTACACAATGTTGTGCAAGATATTTTTCAGGAGAAAACAGAATCTCCGGTGAACATAAGTGCTTATGTCAAGTCTTGCTTGTGGGGACACTATGTATATGGCAATAATATTTTAAATACCTGTCTTTGTAGAGGTCTTATCAAATACTTGTTTTTATATTTTCATATAAACTTTGCTAAATGCATCCACTAGTGTCCATGACATCTTCACATGTATAAATTAAACTCTTGAGTCTCTCATATAGTCCATGTTTGTCTCTTGTGTAATCTCTCGGTCTTGTGCCAGTACCATCTGAGGCTCACTGCTGGTGCTGCTTCAGGCTGCAAACAAAGCACAGGAGAGTGCACATTAGTTTCCTTATCAACAGCATATAGTACTTCATACCAACTCATGACAATCAATGAACGAGGTTTAAAAAAAAAAAGCTTTCTAAAACAATGGCCCAGTTATGTATCATTAACCAATAATCCAGTTTCATTGCATCGTGTTCTAGTACATACAGTGTTATTGTGTTATTTTCATCCTTCAAATGCAGGAGTTGATAGTCCCGTACGCCTTAAGAAGCAATAATGACAGGATTTAGCCTTTATGTGAAGCGCCACATTGTTTGTCAGCTGTGAATGCCCCCTATGCATTTATCACCTTCAAACAATGTGCCATGTTTAATTAAAAAGAGCTCAATTGGCTTGGAGCCTTTTCTATGCCACCTCCAACTAATAGCATTTTAGGGACTTATTTATTTAGCTTTCAAAAGGAAGTGCAATGTTTATCTTTGCAATGGATACTGCAATGCAATGTCCTCTGGCTATATGGCCTATGGAGATGGCACTGGTTACTTTAAAATGCATCTTGTTTTTGTTCTGTCCATTTTAAATAAACTTCAGATGAATAAAATACTCTGCTGTGGTTGTAGTAGGAGATTCTAGCGCTGTTATTTTTCACTCTTGCTGTGTTTCTTTTCATTTTTTTGTCTGAAAAAGCTGATTTGAAGAGGTGACCAAGGCACAAAATACAGTGAAAACTAGTGATAGAATTATTTCTAGAGAAAGGGAATATAGATTTTATTACATGGTTAATTACGTTCTAGTTTAAAATGTAGGTATTATTTAGTATTTTTTGGTTTGTGAGTTTATAGTTCAAACTGGTCCAGAATAATCTCAGAATATTTGATTTTTGAGACACCGAGATGCTTCTCATGCCCAGACTTTTTATGATTACATTTTATTAATTGGCAGGCAGCTCAAACAGCAAAATATACAGAGGCCCGGGGGAATTTCTACTTGGTCGGTTTGTTTTTTAACATGGAGTTTGGAAAGTTCTTTGTTTGGAGTGAAACCAACACATGTATATAAAAGTAAAAGTTTCCCTCAGTTCTTGGCGCAGCCCTTGTTAAAATGCCATCTCTTCAGCGCGTCCTAATAAGCGTGATGCCCCCCACACACAGACCCAGCTCCAAGGCACCCGCTTGTCAGCACCTATCCCTGTAATGGCTGTTCAAACAGTGGCCTGCTCGCCCCGTCGCCTCTGTCACAATTCATCTCACACTCTGGGCTCCTGTCGCCCATCGCTGCCAAAGCCTGCTCTCTCCGACAGCGATCTATACTGTTGTTTGCTCCACACAGCAGATCAAAGTGCAAAATATCAGGTTGAAAAATTACTTTCCAAAGTAAAATAAAAGACAGATCTATTCTGTACAGGCTATTTTTGATGTAGTCTTTCTCATACTCTATGCTGTAAGTCAGTGTCTCCCAAAGTGGGGTCCGCGGACCCCTGGTGGGCCGCGAGGGTACTGCAGGGGGGCCGCGGGAGGTCATAAAAAAAATAAAAAAATAATATAATTATTTAATGTTAAATTTATAATGTTTTGTTTGTAATATTAAAATATTTGTGTTCATTATTTGACTTGAATAATCAACTGTAATCATTTTTGTATTACAATGTTTGTAGCAGAGGCTATTTCCCCAAACAGATTTTTAAGGGGGCCTCGGTGTTACTGAGTTTGGGAATGGCTGCTGTAAGTTATTCACCTTTGTCCTCATTTCAAGTTTGAGGGATGAGTTATGACAATACATGCAAATACAAATTAATTGAGTGTGCAATAGTCAATTAGGCTTTACGTGCTCTATACTGAAAACAAATGACTTTAATTTTTTACTAGCTTTGGTTTAGCAATGGAACCAAAACAAAACCGTATTACAGCATTGAAGAGAATAGGATTAAGATACAAGCTTGTTACTCAGCTCGGTAGCTGTAGGACTTCACAGGCCAGGGATAAACAATGGATTCGAATGTATGTTTATAACACCATTTACAGGGCCTTTATGTCATGTTAGCCTCAGCAACCACCCCTTTGTCATTCTCATCAATGCAGGAGTGTTTGAAAATATTTTATTGTGAAATCATCTGGAGGCTAATCTGTATGTGTAGCTGAGGAAGGCTGAGGTCCAGCTCTAGAAGTTGCTAACAGTTACACAAGACATTTCCATCTCACAGAATCTAAAGAAACTGTTGTGCTTGAGGCAAACTGCATACACAACACTGATAGAAATAGTTTAGTCAAACATGAGCAGCCTGAGGGTTATATGCTCATGAACACCTTAGTTTGGACTACTGGAAAGGAAGGGAGTTATACGCTTTATTTGCAGAGATTGACAGACCCCAAAGCAATTAAAACAGAATGACATTACACGTTTTAAGCTTTCAGTTTGTGCTTGGGGCTTTATTTACAAACTGGCTATGTACTCATTCAATCCTCATTAGTACATCCCACAGGATTTGTAATACCTCCAGATAAACCCTGCATTACCACTTTATGCAATGCCCCTTTTTTGTGTTTGTATGTATCATTTACTTTTGCTTTCACTTTACATTCATCTTCATAACATATATACAAGGATGCACCGGTGCATCGACTGAACATCTGTATTGGCCAATGTTTGCCTTGTTCGCTACCATTGGCCATCTGCAAAATAAATTGAAATTCGCAGATGGTAGGCGTGTGCAAAGAGATAGCGGTAGATGGCGTCCGCGCACTTTCCTCAGCAGAAGAAACAAATAAGATGGCGGCGGTCGTCTCGCAATATTTTACTATGCCAGAAAAAGATCCAATACATGTTCCAGTGAGATTTCAAGAGGGGGGACTGCACGAAAATCACTTAACACAACAAATCTCATTAGACATTTGAGAAGTAAGCATGAGGCGGTGTACAATGATTGCTTGCAAGGAAAACTGAAAACTAAAGCCGCCAGGAACTGTTAAACATTGGTATCTACAGTACTTAGTAGTAGTAATAGTTCAAGCTGTATGGACACATTCACATGGCGCTATATATTACTGACTGTGTATTTGTCGAGAGTAGTAAATCAATAGCAACATTTACATTTAGCGTGACTGTAGCACAGCTCTCAGCTGCCTCTTCAGTGTGCATTAGTGTGCGTGTTGATAGTGAGCCTGAATAATTATGAGGGCGAGGAGGTTAAATGGGCTGCCCCATTCTAACCATCATGCCCTAAGGCACAAGAACTATCCACATATAACACACAGACACAAGATCAAAACTCCATCGAGAAACCCAAGCCTCTCATGCAATACAGAGCGAACATGAATACTTATTATCTGCCTAGTTAAGCCTGGCATTGTTAGCGGTCGCATAAGCAACCTTTATAAAGTCAACTCTCAAAGCCTTCTTCAGTTTGTGGACTCCAAGGAGCTAATTAGCATCGTTGTTTTGTTTTGTTTATGCAGGTTTATGTGAACAGATTATTCAGGCAGGGTGAATCCACTCCCTGGTTATTGTTATGAAACACTGTGTATTTTGGTAGAGTGACCACGATGGTTCAGATGGATGTCCATTTCAAGATGCGAGTCATATTGTTCAATTCAAATCTGGTTCAATGGGCAGGTTTTTGGGTATAAGCCATAGACTGTAAATATTAACGGACGTAGTCACGCCTATCTCCGCCGTTCAAACAAATGGGCCAAAAATTGTGCTCTACTGGAGCAATCCAAAATGGCCGTGAGTGGTCCCGTCCACAAGAAAATTGTGAAAAAATGCATCTGCGCATGCGTCAGCCGGCGCGAGCCCCATTAATTTAACGAGTGCCTTTAACTAAACTAGAGTGGGCCAAAGAAATTCACTCCCCTCAGCATTGACACACACGTGGAATGGAGCTTTGGGCCAAGAGCCAACTTTTGAACCATCCTGTAAAGACGTTTTTGAGAGGTAAGAAGATACTATATGTTAGCATTGGCTAATTTGTATTCCGGGTCCAACCCCATCGGCCCGGGGTGGTATTGCAAGCATGTCAGCGCACATCATTTTGGTCAGATCCTGGATAAAGCCCACCCAGAAAAACAGAAAAAGAGAGAATATTTACACTCTTTAGAAAGGGCCAGTCCTGCTCGGGTGTTAAACCAGAGACCTTCTTGCTGTTAAGCATGCATGCTCAACGGAGTACCTACAAAAAAATAACTTGATGTAAACAATTCTAATTAAAACAGTTTTGTTTTTAATTGGCATACAGTAGTATTTACAAAATGTAATGATAGAGATTGTAAATACTTTAGTGGCTCTGTACTTTCAAAAGTTTGTGTTAGTCATTTGCCCGGTGGTCCCTCTGCTGCCCACCTGTCCCACTCTCTGTTCCACTTCATTCCGTCACTCTTTAAGCTGTGAAAAACGATAAGCCAACTTTTTCTAAGTGTATCCTGGTGTAATTACAGGAGGGAGTGAGTAGAGGCGCGGCGACTTCAAATGGACCGGCCCGATGCTCTCTGCATATGGAGCAGATGTGATGTGCTGATAGTGCTGATAAAGACAAGGCTACGGTAAGTCTGGGCCATCTGTGTTCGGGAGACCGCAATTGTTTCCCAACGCCACACAACAGTAACTTGGACACACTGTAATAGATGTTTCTGTGGAGAGAGTCTAAGCCCTTGCTGCTATCAGATACACTTTTCTCTCCTCGACAAAGCTCTTTGCACAAGGTCCAGCGCGTCCCGAGTGAAATACACCCTGTACCCACTATTTCAAGACTTCAACTCATCCGTCAGTTATTTTTCGTTCGATATGAATTAACAACCTGCACTATTGTTAGTCTTGAAAATTATATTATTCAAACTATTGTTAAGTTATGCTTTTTATTTTAGGTACTCACAATTACCTACTTTGGACAAGCAGGCCTATAAAACTGTCCCCCTTTTCAATATCCTGATTTCACATTCACATTTCACATGTTGATGGCGTGTGCTCAGGGCTTATGTGCCACCAAGGGGATCGAAAGATTTACGAATATTGTCTGGTCGTCCCGGTTCTCTGCAGTATATCTGTTATAAAATACATTATTTAAAGCCATTTTCATTTTTCACCAGTATAAGTTTCTGCAAGATTGAAGGAAATCTGTATTTAATTATTTTATGGCCATCCTCTGCTTGAGAGTTGTGTTTAAAATCGTAGACTGTGTGAGTTAATTTGACCACTTTTCACCATTTATGTTGCATTCACCATTGGGCTTTAAAGTCTGGGGTCACTCCTGGTGATTTTAATTTGGTAACGTCATTGTAAGCAGAAGCAGACCTGTTCTTTGGTTGTTGTATTGGCTTCAACCAATTTGGCCTCAGATTTCTGGTCGCTGAGCTTGTTTGAGTTAACTCTAATCTGCTTCTTCCTATTTCAACAAAGACTGTGGATGACGTCAGCACTCAATTAGTCCACTCTTTCTACAGTTTGTGCCTCAAAAAGTGTTCTGCTAATACATCTCTAAGAAAAGACACTTTCTTTGATATGATACAATGCCCAAAGCCACACACTGTGTTTACCCAGACAAAGATTTAGTGTACTTGTGTGTGAAAGTGCATTTATATATAAAATGTTTCAGTGCAGGTGACAATAGAGGTGGTAAGGTCGACGGGGTGGAACCATTCCTCTTGTTTTGCGTTTCCCTTAAGATCAATAGAGCTGTGTGCCAGAGCCCTCACCTGTTTGGAGTCCAGATGCTCTGTGTCATACAGTATATACGCTTTAACTATTCAGTGTGCGTCCAGAGACAGAGCTTTGCTTCTGGGATGCTGCACAGGAGACAGTGACCCAGACTTTTTACACTTTTTTTACACACACTGAGCCGAAGCTTAAGCCGATGGTGCATATGGTTGTCTTTTGAATGTGTAAAAATAGGATTTTATTCAGCCAAATGTAAAATGCCATATTATTTTCCATACAGATCATGCTTATACATTTTTTGGGGCCATTTAGATAATCTAGTCTCTAAAATATGTGATTTTTTTTTGGATTGTATATTAGTTTACCAATTTGCTAACATCAATTAAAGTCCTTTTACATAATATTGTTCCATTTATTTTATTTCACCACTATAACTATCTATCTAAAGCTGTAAACCATTTCCTTCTAAGGAGGGTGGTTGACTACATGAAGAAGTTCCGATCACATACTCATTCATCCACATTCACCTCTCGACCCCTCAGGCAATCGTTACAACAGCTGAGGTCATGTATTCTCAGCAAGAGATTTCTGGACTTTATGCATCAGGCATGATTTAAATGAATGGAAATGTATTATCTTCTTGATCACTCAACATGATTTTTTTTAACCTGACTTTTACAGCAATGTCACTTACAAACAATGAATCCACAAATAATGAATCCCTAAAAAATTTGAATTCCAAATCATTAAAATTCATTTTATTTTGCCAAAAATGCTGTAATGTTATTTGTCGATTTTGGCCTACTTTTTGTGTACAGTGTCTTAACGCTCTGGCGCTCATCTTGCATACTAAGTGAATCATTGTTCACTTTTCTATTCTCCTCTCTTATGCCACCATGACTAGAATTCTGTGGGGCTATTAGTGTTCGATTTACAACAGCGTGGCTTTTGTCGGAAGTATCTGTGATATGCATAGCCCTGCATGCTTCACACTCATTATCCATCTTAGGAAGTAGAGACAACAGAATTCATAACCTGTTTGTCTGACAGCGCCCCTAAAGTCATTTTACTTTAGATGCATTCGATGACTAAATAAAGCTTTGACATTTATCTTTCACGACACATTCCCTGCACTTTGACCTATGTTTCAGATGCAGACCTGAGGCAACAAATGAGTTCATCAGCAGTGAATAAGATCAGTGGATAGAGATTGAATAGATGAAACATGCACTAACTATATCCTAATTAACACATTTATGTCCCCTTTTCATTAACCTATTGTCTTTGGATCATACTCACTTGTTTTGGTGCTTGGAGCCCTGGAGGTGTGCATGGTACTGCTCGATGGAGTTAAGGACGACACTGCAGACGTTGCAGGAATAGCTACTGCGTAACCCTGGAAACACATATAATGGCAAATAATGCACTTACTTTATTACAATGGCCATAAAAGTAGAATTAAAATCGGCAAACATATCCAAGTAATCATCAGCCAGGGAAGCTGCGCACCAAATAGGACATCCATAAAAGCTGGAAGAGGGTATTCTCCTCTGTAAGTGCTGGATAATTTTCCTAATTGGGGTGCATCTGGATACAAGTTGACTGGACTGATCATTAGCTCAAAGCCTGTTGCCTATTTCGACCGTCTGCCCACTCAAATTCAACTCTTACAGTGTCCAAATAGCCTGTTTATTGTATTGATTTAAAACATAAGGTTAGAATAAAAGATACTGTATATATTAGATGAATGAATATGATAGTGTTTTAAACTACGCATGTTCTACAGTTGTATAAATGCGAAGAGATGGTTGCAAATGAACAGAGACACAGATGTTATCTAATTAGAGGGTTTGCAGGTGGTCGAGATGAAGTCCCGAAAATAGCTGGTTGAAGATGCAGTCACAGCTAATGGAATGAGCGTGCGTGTGCTGATAGATTTTGCTTATTGGTGAATATGCAATTTGCCTCTTTGTCATTTAATCTATTCTTTTGTTTGAAAAAAATATCCAAGAACTGGCTATTTTTTCATTCCCAAAATTTGCAGAAATGCCTCTTGACAGGACACTCAGTCTGAGGATAAATAACGCAGACACTTCAGGGTTGCTTGAGAAAGGCGTCTGCAATTAATTGCTTGAAGGCACTCTGTGGCTGTCCTTGAGTTGTATTTAAATTTGTGAAAGTAAATGTATGTGTGCAACACCACAAAATAAGGCCCCTGTTTGGATGTACTGTAGGTGCCCTTTTCTCACGTGTCTCCTCTATCCTTGAGGTGTATGAGTTGTCGGGTATTCCATCACCTTTTGACCCTCAGTGGTGGTAATTGGCAAAGTGTGTCAACCAGATGAAGTTGTAATAGAGTTAGGAGTGGTGGGAGGTCAGTTAATCTGGGCTAGAACTGCATAATGTGGCATATCTGCTCCCTGTTGTCTCAGAGTTGCTCTGTTTGCTGCAGGGGTGATTAAGGACATGAAGTCATTTACAACAAAGTCATGGAAGAGATAGACGCCAGAAGGGAATCTAGTCCCACATTTTGCTGTCAGTATTTTGACAAAAAAGTAAGTCATCTATGTGTCAACAACAGGCGGAAAAAATGACTACAGCCAGAACAGCTTTATGCGCGGAGTTCAAACAGGGCTGTTTGTTTACACTAGTTTTTTCCTAATAACATAAACACCTCTCCAAGCTATGTAACATTGAAAATGGATGACAAAACACCTTCAGTGCTGATTCCTGTTTGTTCCTTGTACCAGAATAGACTCACCCCTACTCAACAGAAATGATCAAGAGTTGCAGTTTTGAATGTGCACTAGCACAATCTCCTAAGCATCCTTATGCCAATACGGATGCTCAGAAACTCTGTCTGTCCTTTGGCTAAGTAGTTTGTTACGCTCTCAGGACCAGTTTGCTAAAACCCTAAGTCAAACAATCTGTGACTCACTGCTTTTATGTGGTGGATGATTTGTTGTGTGGTTTGACTTAGGATAGAGTAAAATGAAGACTTATCAAAGTGATGACAAAATGTCAGCTCCGCATGAACCTCCTGATAGCATTAAAGCCGCAGAACCATGTGCTGTATGTTGTATTGACAATAGTGTGTTTTGGTTAATAAAGCAGATTTGGCTGGAGACCATGTAGCCTTAATCCATGTTAATTACATGCACAAGGCGGGTGCCCCTGATGTGTGAAAGCCCACAGGGGCCGGCTGTGTGGGTTAGCTGCGTTTGTGAGTCTGTTCAAAGCCTTGTTAATTACACAAGACGATCTGCCAAATACACAGAAGAGACAGACAGGCGCAATGAGCTGAGGCTGACGTTAATGCACAGCCTTGTGGCACTGCCTTCGCCCTTGGTGTGGAGCCACATAAACGCTTGTCACTACAGTAAAAGGCTACATTAGCCACACAAAAATAAGATTATTGCACACCATAGCCTTGTACTATGAGCGCTACAGTGTATATGGCACACTCCAACTCTGGCCTTAGCAGCTGTAATGACCCATTTGGAGCGAGGTGGCTCTGGCCTCTCAGCGGAGGATCAGCCAAACTCTCATTGAAGCGCCTTTTTTGTGCATTTCAGGAAGTGGTCCGAGCATATAATTGTAAGCGCTGTCCGTTCTCACAGATAAAATGAGAATCACAACATTATTGAAAGATGTTCTACAATACTTTCTACTTAGTGTTCATTCATTCATGGCCATTTCACTCCAGAGACTGCAGACTATTTTTTGTTGTCAGAATAGGTTTTAATTTGTGTTGGAATATTACAATAATTCAGAGCCAAAAGTAGGTCCACTGAGATCCAATCAAAACCTGAACACTTGACAACGTGTCTCTATGGAGTTATATCACAAATGGCAGAGCCGAGTGAAGCTTAGGGCTGGAGCCAGACTGAATCCAACAGCAAACTCTGAGCAACTTATAGGAACTAATTAGTTTTTCAGCAAATGACAGAAATAGGAAAGACCATCTGTTTAAGCCAAAAGTACAAACGCAGGAAGCCAGCCTGCTTGTTTTTGAAATATTACTTAAAATAATGAACAGATTGTTTAAACCTGAGCGCCTGGATACCTGCTCAGTTTGCATCATCTGCTGTTCATTGTGTGGAGCTGCTAAATATGTATTAAAGCATAGCTGCACATTTTCACCGCTTGAATAATCCAAATCCTTTGAACACAGAACTTTTTCTTTTGCCTAATTAGAGAATACTTTAAATGTTACACATACATGAAAGCAAGATGAACGGATGTTGTTTTCTTTTCATAAATACATTTTGTTCTTTCCAACGGACAGCAAACAAATCAGACCACAACATGCTGCCTTTATCTTATTGGAAAACAATAATAATAATAATAATAATGCATCGGTTTTATATAGCGCTTTTTTGGACACTCAAAGACGCTTCACATGTGTCATTATTCATTCACTCCATACACGGTGGTGATAAACTATTACTGTAGCCACAGCTGCCCTGGGGCACACTGACAGAAGCGAGGCAACCAGTATGTGCCATCGGCCCCTCTGACCACCACCAACCATTCACACACACACCAGACTCATTCTAGGCAATGGGGGTGAAGTGTCTTGCCTAAGGACACAACGGCAGTTTGGCACTTTACAGCCGCAGCCGCCCCACTGTGGCTGGTGTTCCCAGAGGTTAAGTGTCTTGCCAAGGACACAACGACAGTAGTCAGTGGGAGTCGATGGTGAAAGTCCTGAGCGGGGCTTGAACCCACGACCTTCTGGCTCAAAGGCCAACGCTCTACCAACTGAGCTACTGCCGCCCTAGCTACTGCCGCCCAATCTTTGATTGAACCACATTGTTTAGAAGAAATAGTTTAGTATAGAATTTTTGGTTTCAAAGTTACTGTAGGTAATGTAGCTTTTAACCATTGTTATGTTGGCGGCATAATGACGCAGTGGTGTCTGCGTAGGTCCCTAAGGGTGCTCTGGTTTCCCCTACCACTACAAACATGTACAATAGGTCCAGCATTCCATCGCAATGTGGAGTGAGAAAGAAAAATGCTTTACACAGATGTAAAGCGATTTGTGACTCTGTCTGAGATAGGCGCTAAATAAATAAATGTTACTTCCTTCAACCCAACAGAAACTTCCTACAGAACTTTAAGTCACTTCTCAACACGCACCTGTTACACCTTCAATGTTTATTTTTGTATGTTTGTAAAGCGTCTTTGAGTGTCCAAAAATACTATATAAGTTATTGTTATTGATTGACTGCGGAACCTTCCGCAGTCAACCATTGGTTTTGTATTTCTTTATTCCGTCATTTTTTTTGACACGTTTCACAGCTTTCACATTTTCAACAATTTCCACAAGTTATACATCAAAACGTTCCACATGTTTGGGAGATTATTGCTATTACTTTTGGGACTTCAGCGATTTCCGGTTTTTCCGCAATCGGACAAAAATCTGCATTGAGAATTCTGCAATGCATTTTAATAGGCCCATGCATTTTAATAGGACTTCAGCTCTTTCAGACATTTCTACAGTTTCAATGATTCAACAGTTTCAAGGATTCAACAGTTTCAAGGATTTCAGCAGTTTCAAGATTTCAAGAGTTTCAAGGACTTCAACAGTTTCAAGGACTTCAGCAGTTTCAAGGACTTCAGCAGTTTCAAGGACTTCAGCAGTTTCAAGGACTTCAGTGTAATCATGCAACCTAATAGGGATTTTTCCATGTAAACCAGTATAATGCAACTTAATAGGGATTTTTCCATGTAAACCAGTATAATGCAACTTAATAGGGTTTTTTCATGTAAACCAGTATAATGCAACTTAATAGGGTTTTTTTTCATGTAAACCAGTATAATGCAACTTAATGGGGATTTTTCCATGTAAACCAGTATAATGCAACTTAATAGGGGTTTTTACATGTAAACCAGTATAATGCAACTTAATAGGGTTTTTTCCATGTAAACCAGTATAATGCAACTTAATAGGGTTTTTTCCATGTAAACCAGTACAATGCAACTTAATAGGGATTTTTCCATGTAAACCAGTATAATGCAACTTAATGGGGATTTTTCCATGTAAACCAGTATAATGCAACTTAATGGGGATTTTTCCATGTAAACCAGTATTATGCAACTTAATAGGGATTTTTCCATGTAAACCAGTATAATGCAACTTAATAGGGATTTTTCCATGTAAACCAGTATAATGCAACTTAATGGGGATTTTTCCATGTAAACCAGTATTATGCAACTTAATAGGGATTTTTCCATGTAAACCAGTATAATGCAACTTAATAGGGTTTTTTCATGTAAACCAGTATAATGCAACTTAATAGGGTTTTTACATGTAAACCAGTATAATGGAACTTAATAGGGGTTTTTACATGTAAACCAGTATAATGGAACTTAATAGGGGTTTTTACATGT